AAAATACTCACAGATACACATGCAGCTATTAAAACCTAATCCTTCCCTAGAAACAGAATGTTTTCAATCTAATACAGGAAGCTATTGAACAGATTTTTCCAAAATGCCACTTTCTTAATTTGTTTGCTGTGTTTTCAACTAGAAATACCACTTTCTAGAAAATTGGTAAATACATTGTGTAATATTTTGAATTTCCAGACTCTCTTAACAGGAACTCTGACCACAGACCTCTTCTCAACTCTGATGGTCTCTGCTTGACCTATGTGGTATTTCAGAATACAGTATAACTTGCATAATTCCTCTGTAGCTTGGACTGAAGGTGAACAGAAAGATTTGAGTGATGAAAGATAAGGAAACTAAATTAAAATACAACAGAATGCTTTAAGTATGTCTGAGGATGACAGAAAACAGAATTTGGAGGCAAGTTAGTTCTACACTCATGTAATACCAGATATTGGACATAGTTGTAGGTAAGATGTTGATGGTACTCTATATGTGGTTTTTTTTTTTCCCTTCATGTCTTTTGTTTGTTGTGGTTTTGTGCGTGTGTATGAAATTTCTGTTTGATTACAGAGATTTGCTTTCTGGGGAAAATTCACACCTCTTTCCAAACAACACAAATAAAAGAAACAAGTACTGAGACTTTATCACAGAATCACAGAATGTTAGGGGTTGGAAGGGACCTCCAGAGATCATTGAGTCCAACCCCCCTGCCAAAGCAGGACCATCTAGTCTAGGGCAGGTCACACAGGAAAGCTTCCAGACGGGTCTGAAAAGTCTCCAAGGTAGGAGACTCCACAACCTCCGTGGGGAGCCTGTTCCAGTGCTCTGGAACCCTTACAGTAAAGAAGTTCTTCCTCATGTTGAGGTGGAACTTCTTGTACTCCAGCTTGTGACCATTACCCCATGTCCTATTGCGGGGCATAAGTGAGAAGAGATTGCCCCTTCCTTCCTGACACCCAGCCCTCATATATTTATATACATGAATTAGATCCCCCCTAAGTCTTATCCAGACTAAAAAGCCCCAGGTCTCTCAGTCTCTCCTCATAGGGCAGGTGTTCCAGTCCCCCAGTCATCCTCGTAGCCCTTCGCTGGACTCTCTCGAGTAGACGTCTGTCCCTCTTGAAATGGGGGGGCCCAGAACTGGACACAATACTCCAAGTGAGGTCTCACATCAAACCCATGTTTCTAAAAGGACTTAGAAATGCCTGAGAAGATACCTGTGTTGTGGAACCTGCAGCTAGGCAGGTGTCTAAAGATTTCCAGAATCAGGCTTAAGAAAGAGAGGAGAGCCAGAATCTGTAACTGGGTCCCAGACTCTTTTTTTTCAAGAGCTCCTCAATGTTGGATTTGGAACTATGGTGCCTTTCTGCCCCATCCCTCCTGTCAGTGACCTTTCTAGGCACCATTGTATTTGAGAGTTGTGTTGATTAAAAAACTGGGGGATCAGCCCTAAGGAAGGGCTGAATGAAGGAAACTGTGTCCATCTACATCTGGCCAGTTCTTGCTAGCTGTTAAATTGAATTTGCAGCTTTTACAAGCAGGAAATCACACTTGCATAAGCCATGTGGTATATGTACTGAGAGGGTTTTTCTTGTGTTTTTCTTTGGTTCTGAAATATTTTATGTATGGAAGAAGACCACTTATATTACCTTAGTTTCACTGAATTATTGGGTGCATATTGTTTTGCAAGGGTTAAAATTTAAGCGTGCCAACCTTATATATAATTTACATCAGGAGCTTTTACATAATTGATATTAAGAAAAGTGCTTGAGGAATGCAGACAGTATGGAGGTCTGTAAAGCTGTTATGAGCTCAACACTGTTGTGGTAATTATTGCAGAGGGGTGGATACTCAATTATGTGCTTAGTGGAAGGGAAGATTACTAAAAATATTAATGGAAGGCTTTAGTGGAGTTTGGCAATTACTGTGTGTACTCATAAGTACCTATAGCTATTATTAAGTGGTAAACAAATGCACTATATATTTGCAAATTGGACTTGTTCTCCAAGTAGAAAATATTTTTGTGAGTTTTATCAACTTTTGTAGGAGTATGGTGCGTTAATTATATATATACGTATGTATCTCAAGCTATCTGGCTTGAAAAAGTAAGGATTTTACATGTGAGCAGGGTATAATTAAACATCCCATCTTCATCCTAGATTTTCAAGCAGACTACTCTCACTGTCCCTGCATTTCAGAGTTTTTATAAAAGCCATGATAGAATAAAACCCCTGACTTTGGAACATTTAACAGAGAAATAAGAAAATAATTTTTGTTATTAGAAAAGTGCTATGTCTTTGGACACATCTAGCTGTCAAACGTTGTTGCTAAAACAATATTTTCCATATTGTTGGAAATTGTCAGATATGGTTTATATTTTCCCTGTTCCTCAACAATCCTTTAGGGTTTTGTAGTAGTTTTCCCCCTTAACTGTCTTCTTCAGGCAGCAAAGGCAGTAGCCGCACATCAGTTACTTTTGTTCTCTGCCTGGTCACACTCTCACTGATTCTGGGTCTTGTGTCCTAGCACTGTTTGTGAATGTGCTCCAGGAGATGTTTCGGACCAGATTTTGATAACTGTTATTTGAGATTTCAATCAATTTTTAGGCTTTATAAAGATTTCTTTTAATAATAAGATATGAACTTGGCTGAAGTTGCCTCTGCAGTAGTGTCATTTTTGAAGTCACACTTCAGTCATCCTTCCTATGTATTGCTTTTTTATAATGGTTGTTGGCAAGTCCTTCTTATCCTCCAACACCTCCAAAAAAAAAAAAAAATTAAAAAAAAAATTGCCGTGGTGTTTCAGAATCTGGCTTAGGACCTCCCAGTGCTGGAAGGACGGTGCCTGAATCCTCGCTTGCACGAGGCAGGCAAATCTCACTGGCAGGGCATGGAGCGAGGCAGTGCTGTGGTGCCTGGATGCTGTGAGGGATGAAGGAGTCATCCCTCCAGTCACATGGACCCTTATGGAGGGGGTGCAGCGTGTGGCCCCTGCTGCCTGAGGCCCCTGTACTGGCCCACACAAAGTGGCAGTGCTCATGATGCATCTCTGAAGTTTGTGCAACATTGAGGAGTACAGTGGCTTAGGAGTCTTCCAATTCCATCAGTATCTATAACAAATTGATAATTTGGGTTTTTTTTTTTTGCCACACAAATTTGGTCTGTGTGCATGAGAACATTCTGACCTCTCAGTTTTCATGACCCACAAGCTTAGCTGTGTCCGTTTGGCATGTTCCTTCCCTCTTGGACTATCCATAGGTGATGTTTTAGAGCGTGGTATATCTTCAGAGAGTGCATGGAAGTGTCAAGGAAAGATCACTTTATTGCTGTTTTGGTTTTTTGAGTCTAAATCGCTTCAGGGAGCAAAGTGAACCCTAGGATAAATAACAGAATCTTCCATGTGGTAGAAGATATTGGCAAGTTTTTAGCTAGCCAAAAAGAGTGGCAACTCAGCCCGGAGTCCTGGAGCTTTGTGTTCAGGGCCTGCTCCTCCCTCCCAGGCTGGTATTGGTGCTCTGACTGCTGCTACTGTGCAGGCAAACTTCCTATCAAGTGGCCTGCCTGGCAGGACAGGGTGATCCTGGGCCACTGCTGGCGAAACGCAGCTGTGTGTCTGCGTGTTTGGAGAAGTCCCGTGCCAGGAGCTGATGCGTGTGTGATGCCACTGGCTTGACCTGGGAAACTTCATTGGCTTCTGCACGTGCCAGAGTCAAGTGCTTCCTCCTGTTAGTGGCATGAGTTGTGTGCTGCTTGTTTCCATGTTTAATTAAGTTCCATTCTTTTGGAGCGTGTTCTTACCAGACACTTTTACAGCCCACTTTCCAACCCGTAATTCTGTTTTGAAGAGTATCACCGTGCTTTCAAGGTGTCTTTGAAAAGCTTTCAGGTTGTGCCTGGCCTGCAAGTTCGTGAGCTCCTCTATCAGTCTGAGATCTGAATCTCTTGCTGTTTGTGTCGTTCTCAATTTCTTCCTAAAGGTGGAATATTTGGAGCAAGAATGTTTTTTTATGGTTTTTCTTTTTAATTTTAAAGGGAACAGAGGTAATAAGCTTTTAAGGCAGAGAACAGATTTAAGAAAAAGTCATTATGTTGTTGCTACTCTTTTCTACTCAGTGAAGATGCCATGGAAAGTGGAACATTACCTTTTTAATATATTTTTTTAAAAATATGTAAGGAAGGCTTGACAGGGAGTCTTTTTAAAAATTAAACGTTTTTATAGTCTACGTCAACTATTTTTGGTGAAGGTTGTTTCTTTTTGGTTTTTTTTTTTTTTTTTTTTTGAAGTGCCAGAGAGCTGAGCTTCCAGAGTCTCAGCTTTTAAGAGATGCTGTTACAGAATATTTAAATTGTTACTGTCCAGAGGTTTATGTTATCCAAGAAAAATCCCTTTCTCCTCTTCCTGTTGCTTATGTTCTGTTTCACTGGTGTGTGTGGTATCAGCATTTTACTAGTCTCTCCTGATTCACGCAGTGTTTCTAAGAAAGCAAAATAGGTAAGTTGTGAAAGTCTGTTAGTAGAAATACAATTAAGAAAAAATTAATAGCTCTTTCTTATTTGGGATGGGTGCAAAAATTGAGACGTGTTCTGATTTCCTTCAGGTGTTGCCTCTGTTAAGAAATTGTGCGAGTTGTCCTTCCTTCATTTCACAATGTCAGCAATACATGGGATATTTTTTTGTTTTCTATGTGTGTCACTGAGCTACTTGCCTCTTGAGGTTTATAAACAGAAATCCATTTCTTTCTTTTGTGTTCTATCATCCGTTGCAGGCAGTTCAGTTTGTCCTTTATATGCTCAGAGGATTCAGATTTTTTTTTAACTGCTGAAGTTTATTAAGAGCTTAAGATTGTAAACTATTAGTTAACCTCTAAAAGTTTGTACCGTAGTTTTGTTTACTGAGTGAAATCAACTGGGGAGTGTTAGTGCAGGCAATAGCAGTCTGAAAAATTTATAGACTAAGGTTTGCTGCATTTTTTTTTTTTGTTTTGTTTCTCAGCTCCAGAAGAAAAGGATGCAATTAAAGGACAGTATGAAAAACTCATGGATGCTTATGGCTGCTTAGGAGAGCTTCAGCTTAAAATTGGTAAGTGACTGCCTGCATGGATGAGATTATAAAATGCCCAGACAATGCTAAAACACAGCAACAGATGGCTAAAGTTGTCCAGTTCCTTAACTGATAGCTAATTACACCTTGTTAAGTACAGGCTGGAAAAGATCCATTTCTTTTTCTACTGTGCCAAACGCATATCACTAAATGATAGTCTAAGAATTTTGGATTTTTTCTCGCTTTTGTTTTGTCTAACATTCTTAGCTGCCAGAAGATAGTTGCTAGTTTTTTCCCTCACCACAGTTGTCAGAGGCAAGCAATAATATCTTAGATTTTTTTAAGGATCTTGTTTAAACACTGATTAATCATGGGCATCTGAGACTGCAGTGCTACAGACTGCCAGTCCTTGCTGTAATGCCCAGTTGCCTTTACCTGGGTAACACACATAGACAAAGATTTGCAGAAGCAGACCTTTGACTTCAACTATTATAATCGGGGAACTTTTTGTCATTCCTGTAAATTTCTGTATGGTTTGGGAATCTTGATTTAACAAAGAACTTGCCTACAGGAATATTAATGGAAACAGTTATGTTTTAGGAAGAGCACCGTAGTCATTGGTTTGAAGGTAATAGTCGCCTTACACAGCAGACTTCAAATTCACTGATGAAAAAGATATATTAAAACAAAAAACCTTGTTCCCATGGTGGTCTTAGAGAAAGCCTTAATTTTGACTTTGAGGAATGACAAGACTGTTTTCTATAAACATGATGGATGGTTAAGGAATGAAGGCAGTGGTGATGTGAGCACGGGTGTACTTAGACCAGTAGATGTAAGTATCTTTTTATAGCTTGCTTACTATTTTATGGCTTGAGTAATATGACTTGGGATTGATCTGAAGAGGCGACTGGAACCTTAAAGATTTCTGTGTCATGATTTAAAACTGTAGGCCAATCTAGTCTTTTAGAATGAAAATGGGCTTTTTGTTTGTTTTGTTTCCTGTGGAGTTAATTAAGCATTTCTTTGAGACTAATATCAATTTGTTAATGTAATTAAATATGGGGGGCTTGTGATTAGTTTTTCTTGGCACTTGGGCCTGTTTTTCTTCATAGGAGTGTAATGAATCCTGTTGTAATAGTAAGGGAATGTAGCTATTGAATTCAAGGTCTTCAAGCTGCAGATGAAGGTAGTTTCTTCTATGTGATGGGCACTAAATATATCCAGTTTTAGTCTTCATATTAAAAGGTGAATAATTTCAAATGGGGTGTCATATATTCTCAGCCTTATTTTTTCTCTTTTATCCTTTTATTTCTTTTTCCCCTACCTTTATTTCTTTTGGAACAACACCGGCAACAATAGCGACTTCAGTGTTACTGGAGTGAGATTTTTTTCCTCTTTGAGCTTTGTCACTTCAACTCTGTCTTGTTCTAATACTAAATTACAAATTGTGGTACAGGCCTTCCTTTGGAAGGGGTTTGTTAAAAATTTTATTGGTAATTAGATTAAAAAAGTTAACAACTGGATGCTAACTTCTAGTCGTGATAGAGTGAAAAGACAGGAGGGTCATGCTGTAATGGTAAGCAAACATTTTCTGCTGCTGAACATGTTTCAAAAAGCAGAGACAATTGTATTGTCTGATATCTCACTATTTTTTCAGTCTCAGTTAGATCTTACATCTTACATATATGTAAGTTTCATCCCTTTAGCTGGTTAACACTAGGAAGGAATGCAATGTAACTTTTTTTTTTTTCTTTTTTATATAATGCATTTTAGCAGCTGCAAACAAAGGCATAACTGGTCAGCTGTTCCCTGAGCATCAGTGGTCACATAGACTTTGTTAGGGGTGTCAGTATTTTTTTCTTACTGCTGGAAACCTGCAGACCGTAAGTACTAAATTAACTGAAAATATTTGTGAAAGTACATTCCACTGGGATATTAGAAGAGTGTATTTGTAGAGCAGAAGGGGAGACTTTTTTTCAAGACGTGAAAGATGTCTCTCAGCACTTTAATTAATCCGTAAATATCACTACTTAGGAATCCAAATAAATCACATTGTATGCCTGCCAAAGTAGATCGTGCTTTTCACAAGAAAGTAGATGAAATATGTGAAACTGACTCACAAAGTTAATGTTTCCCACCAGTAATAGCATTTGCTTCTGTGTACTTATGTCTGTTAACATGACTCACTAAGTTCTTCTGCTTTCTTTTGTGAGATGGATGGCAGCAGAATGAATTGTACAGTGTTTCTGAGCTGTATCTCAGCCAAGATTTTGCTGCCAAAGAAGATCTAGCAGTGGCAAATACATCTTAAGCAAAGTGTTAAAAGAGCTGGCTTTGCAGCATTTGGTTTAGATGATGTGTTGTCAGGAAGGGGAACATATATAAAGTAGTATTTTGACACCAGCACCACAGAGGTTGTTTAGTTTAATAGAGCTGCTGTATTTGGGGAGGCATTCTGAATTCATCTGACTGCGTACATGCTCTCGCTCTTGCGCGCATCCAGTGGGTAGTTGAAAGAAAGACATTTTGAAGGCAAAAAGGACAACGAAGCACCTGTTTTCTATTCCTTTAGAACATTTCCTAACAGTGTAATTGTATTTAGAAGAGGGAGAAAGAGTATCTTTGAGACTAAACCTGTAGCTTGGAAAATTGTGGTTCTTTTCATAATTCTGTTACAGATTTCCTCAGAAATTTTCAGCTAGATGGTTAGAATCTGCTCCTCTGCTGTGTTCTGTTGCTAATTTTGAAGGCAAAGGAGAGGCAACAATACCTTGCAAATTGTTTTTCAGTGGACTACAAAGTGGAGTGGAGTTGGAACAGGCTGAGGGAACATAAGGCAATGGCATGACTGTATTGGAATGGAAAAGGAGCAAAAACTGGAGCAAATTAATTTTTAAAAGCAAAAGGCAGTCTTGAGTGAAATATTTACAGTTAAGAAGGACAAAATAAGAATTGAATATTGGCTCCTTTTCACTGCAGATCATAATAGGCAACACTGAAGTCATCCCATAAACTGCAGGGGAAACAATTGCCTTGAGTCATGTAGATAGGGTAGATACAGAAACTGCAGCTTATTATGTAGGGTGTGACGTACCAGAACTGCGCTTCCCGTTCAGCTTGGATTAAGGCAGTTGTTTTCACAAGAACATTTTAAAAATGGATGCAAATTGTCTTGTTTCTATGCCAAATGTTCTCCATCCTCTACCTCCCTTGTGCAACCTGATTAAAAGGCATTTACCACATACCACTGTGAGAAAAACATTTCTTAGATTTCTTTTAAATTTCTCTTTAAAGATGGTTGTAGTGATTTATAACTGTAATGGGCCAAGATAATGATCTTGGTCATGAGGCATGAACATTTATACCATCTATCTGAGATCAAAATTTGGTCCATAAGCTTTGAGGTTTTTGAATTTTTTTTTTCTTTAGAACTATAGGTGGGTCTTGCTTTTTTCATAGATGTGTTGCTGTAGAAAGCATGAATCACTTCACAGGAGAAAGTTTTCTATTTTTTGGTTGCTTTTTACTTGCCTTAGTACTGGCCCTATTCATCATGCACTTTGCAGCTGTCAGCTGAATATAACACGCTTTCTGCTACTGTACCACACATGAAATGAAGGGGAAATTACCATAGATTTTCCACCTAGTGTACTTCCATTACTTTTTTTGATAAGAACTGTTTGGCTTCTATTTTAAGAAACAAGAGTGGAGTTTGGCCTGTCCCCTACTCAGATATGCAGGGATCTCCTGCAAGCAGGGTGTCTCTGCAGACTGGCTGCAGTGGTAGTACTGGCAGGGGCCACTGACTTCAGGGAGTTGGTTTAGGGTTAAGTCTCCCTTTGATCTTGAGGAGGCACTGACAGCATTTTAAAACTCATCTTCCTGACTGACTTGAGCTTACACTTAAGGGGTGACTGTTTATTTCATGGCTTTAGGATTTTTTTTTTTCCATGTTGCTGTTGCTACTCTGGACAGAAGAAATATAAATACTTTGAATACTGTTTAGATCTTTTTAAAGCTTGCAACCCCATAATATGCTTCCTGATGCTGCTGTTGCCAGGTGAATTTGGCTGGACTATCTGATGTATTTTTGTTGTGATTGGTGTGACTCTGGTACTTCACATGCTACTTGCATAAAAAGAATTTCTCTGGAAAACTGAAAGGAGTAGTTTTTTTTTTTAATATAATTACAGAGCTGGAAATGGTAGTGAGCTGCAGTTCTGAAAAGTTAAGGATGATGGGAATTAATGGAATAGCCTCAATTGTTTTAAGTTATGCCTCGGGAGGTTTTGACTGGATATTAAGAAGAATTTCTTCACTGTGAGAGTGGTGAGGCACTGGAACGGGCTGCCCAGGGAGGTGGTGGAGTCATCGTCCCTGGAGGTGTTCAAAAAATGGGTAGATGTAGCACTTGAGGCTATGGTCTAGTGGTTAGGGAGATGTTGGGAGGAAGGTTGGATTTGATGATCCTGGAGGTCCTTTCCAGCCATAGGGGTTCTCTGATTCTAAGAGGAAATACCTTCTAGCTGTAAGGAGTGTCTGGGTGTTTCAATCTGATCTATTTCATTAAAGTTATGTTATTTTTCACAGTTTGCTCAGCAAAATCAATTTAATTTAGAAAAAAATATATTTCTTGTGTCAAGGCCTCACAAATCCACCTACTATAGGAAATTCCATGTTGTATTGTTAGCAGGATTTTTTTCTTTGTTTGTTATTGTGGTTCCTTTTTTTTTGGGAGGGTGGGTGTAGTAAACCAGGAATGCAACTTCCTGCATTCTTTTGTGAGATTTACTGGATAATAAAAATATATTGTTTAGGAACAAAAAGAATTTTTCAGTGAATTCTTGTCAGCGAAGACTGTTATTTTCCTTGCAATGAATGAACAATTACCAAATAACTATCGGCAATTTTTAGAAATGGAGAAAGTTGATTTAATTTTGCCTTTTATAAAAATTACTTGCTCCAATAGCAGTATTCATCCCGACTGACGCAATTTAAGCAATTTCTACCCTTAAATTTAAGTGCGTTTAGGTTGGGTTATGGTTGATACAGCTGTTTTCATGTTAAGTATCTGTTTTCAACAGGAAAGATTATGGTTTGTTGACATTTACATACCAGCAAAGAAACCACTTTGACTTTTTAAAGTTTGAATTTAGAAGTAGAATAGAATCATAGAATCATTTAGGTTGGAAGGGACCTCCAAGATCATCAAGTCCAACCACCGAGCCACCAGGGCTCCAAAGTCCTCTGCCAAAACAGATCAGAATCTGTCAGGGTTGGAAGGACTGTTTCTTTGCTTTAATATATCCATCATAATAATCAGACTTTCAGCGACTGGCAGGTAAGCCAGAAGCATTTTTCCTGTGGCTGGTGATGTTATGTTTCTGCCATATTAGGTACTGCTTGGGTATGTAATGCTTTTGTTTTATTCCTTGGAATAGCATTTTCAGTCTGACAAAATGCTGAAGTGAAAGCATGAGTGGAAGCATCACAGTTATAATTCCCATCACAAACTTGTCTAATGGGGTTCTCAACATATTTTAAAACATCACAGCCTTGGCTGAGGGGAAAGGGTGTGAGGAAAAAAGGTTTAGGACTGAAAAAAGAGATTCCCAGACACAAACTGATGGCAGTGGCAAAGAAGGGAAGACGGGGAGAGCTTTGTTTCACTGTGTATAGCTTAGTGGTGGGTAATTTCTAAGACCTTAATGGAGACATGGTTAAAAGATGAGCCATGGAGTGATGTTCTGGTATCGTTAATTTTGCTGTGTGAGGTTCTGAAGCAGTGAAAGGCTGACGGGAGCCTTCCCTCTGCTCAGGACTGTGGCTCCATCTGTGTTGGGAGTAAAAATGGGGCAGGGCTCAGGCCTGAGCGCTGTCAGTAGGATGTTGTGATTAGCTTGCTCCCTGTGCCAAGAGCAATGTGCATATCAGGTAAGGATCTTCCTCCTGCAGACAGTGCAGTGATATCCCAGAGCTCATTCCGAAGGTCACCTTCAAAATACCACCTAGGATGAAAGTGATATCAGGGGATGGGGCTTGGGACTTTTTTCCAAGGCAGAGAATTGGAGAAATTTGTGATAGGCAGAGGCTGTGGTATTTTAGGGTTTCTGCATTCTGGCTGTTTTGCAGCATATCCTGAGTGATGTAAGCAAACCAGAGAGGTTGGAGTTGGTCTGAAGACCACCTCAGCTCACAGAGCAGTCTAGGAGGACGAAGTGGCAAAGCAAGCTAGCTTTATCATAGCTTAAATCGGTTTGTCTCTTGCCTTCCTTTATCTCCAGTTTTCTAGGCTGTGTGAGCTCCATTGTCAGCTTGTCTCTGTTCAAAGTCATAACGAAAAGTAAATGAAGATTGCTCCATAATTTGAAGTACTGTAAAGAGACTTCTTCTGTGTATAGAATCACAGAATGGTTTGGGTCAGAAGGGACCTTTGAAGATCATGTAGTCCAATCTCCATGCCATGGGCAGAAACACCTTCCACTAGATCAAGTTGCTCAAATTCCCATCCAACCTGACCTTGAACACTTCCAGGGATGAGGCATATACAGCTTCTCTGGAAACCTGTTCCAGTGTCTTGCCACTTCCACTGTAAAAAATTTCTTCCTTGTAAGTTTTGACTGGATATGTTTTTTCAGTTTAAAGCGGTTGTCTGATGTCCTGTGACCACAGGCCCTGGTAAAAAGTCTCTCTCCATCTTACAAGCCTCCTTAATATTTTGAAAGGCTGCAATAAGATCTCTTGTCCAGCTGAACAATGCCAGCCAGCCCTTCCATGTAAGGTTACTGCATGGTGGCAGGAAAGAGGGTTACAGCTTCAGAGAGCCATCAGTCTCCAGGTTCAGGGACAATGCAGTAGCTTCTTAGCTGTGATTACTATTTTTGAGCTCATGAGGTAGTGATCTGGGGGAAGAGCTATGTTGGACCTCTGCATGTGTAGACGTGTCTGCCATTTGGGCAGTGAGTGGTTGAGTGAAGGAGGCGGTAAAAGGGGTCTAAGAATCTCTGCTAAGGGTTAGCAAGATCCTGTTAGTTTTGATGGGGTTTTCTGTCATTCATTATTCCTACTCATTGCTTCCTTAATTTGATCTGAACAAAGCAATTTAGTTTATTTTCTGCTGTTTACAAGTCCCTTGAAGGACAGAGCCATTTGGCTATTTTAATGTTGACTTCCTCATTTGATCTCTTCTGAACCCTCTAGGAAAGTTTAAGGTCACTGAAGGCAATGACAGTGCTTGTCTTCGTTGTTTCACATCCCAGCCAGCCAGCTCACTGAGTCTGTCACTACTTGTTTTCAGTCCCTGAAGCTGACTGATATAAATAGTGGCATATTAATAGTGTTTCTATACATTGCTTCCAAATTCTCATGAGTGAAGTATACTTTGAGCTGATCAGTCTTGCATTGTCTCAACGAAGTCGTAGAAGCTATTAGCTATCCTGACAGGCAGCTACCTCCTCCTCACCTCTTCTGGAGGATGCAAGACAGTATATAGTCAGGTATGAACTACCATGGTGATACCTGATGTATCTCCTACTCTTAATCCTTTATAATTATGCACATTCAGGTGCAAAGGAGGAATAAACTGTCAGGTTTTATGTATTTCTAACTCTCCAATACAGTGTCATCTAGAAAAGTACAGAAGATGTACTTCCTAAAAACACCCAAGAAAGAAGACAAAGCATACCCTTGTTGCAGAAAGAAATGTGATGAACAGGGCTTTTTAGCAAATACCACCTACACTGGCCTTTCTGCAAAACTGGAGTCAGCAGAACAGAATGAATAAGATCTGATCTCCCACCTTGTCCTGCCATTCCAGTCCCACGTGCCCACGCAAATACTCCGGCCCTGCTGAAACCCATCCCTAACTCCAGTGTGTGTAACCAGCCTGTCATCTGGAAGCAAGGACTCCCCTGCTGGTGATTCAGGAAACAAAAATAGTTGTGCGCGAGTTGGTCTGCAGTTTTGGACAATGGGCCACCATGGAGGGCTGTAGAATGATTCTACAAAGCGTTCCCTTTTGGTGTCTGGAGCCATGCTGTCCCAGACTGTCACTGTGCCCTTAGCTTATTAGCTTGCTCTTGGCAGGTCAGCTGTAGTTTCTGCTATGCTAGAGTAATAAATGTTGGCTTGTTTCCACCTTTTCTTACTGACTGGAGTGAATAGGATGACGTTGTCTCCATTAGAGGTCAATTTAAGCGAATCAAACAGTTTCTTCCTAGCAAAAGCAGTGTTTTCAGAACAATTGTTCTTCTGTTTCTTAATTACTTTATCGTTTCAGAGAGAATGAAGAGAGGTTGAAGTCCTGCTGTGTATGAAAGATCTGTTTACAGTGCTGTTCTCAAGCTTCAAAATTTATCTTTTAGTTTTGGGGCCCCAAAGTTCAGATGCTTCACAGTTTCACATTTTGCTCCACAACCATGAGACCTGGAATTCTTTTAGTGATAATTGAGGTAGTCGGCTAGTCATATATGCTCTTGTGACATTAAAAAGCAAAATCTCAAGAACTGATAATACTGAAACTTTCTGAGTGGCTGAACATACCCAGCTTCAGCTGGAGCCAGTAAGAAATCTGAATGCTATGTATATTTAAATTCAGAATTCAATTGAAAAATTCATAGTGAAGAATACACTTTATCTCATAAATAACTTTTACCTCTCCCTTCAGTCAAACGCAACGAAAACTGTATGCTCTCTAGGGTGGAGAAATTTGGTTTTTGAGTTTAGCATTCCAACACCAAGCTCATTGTACTTGATAAAGTGGGAAGAACACGGTCTAATGCAGCGAAGGGTAGGAATGTAGAAGTATTGTGGAATATTATGCAGTTATACTCACTTACCTGCAGTCAACATGAATTGGGAAGTGTCAACCAGCATAGTCGGTGTGCGTATCATGCCTATTTATTTTCTTCTGCAGCAGAGGCAGCGGCCTCTGCTGGAGCCCTGTCAGCATTGCATGCAGCAGGGCTGGTGCGGAACGGTGTAGCCTGCGTCCACCTGTAACCCCTCTGCAACTGTCTGTCGCCTTCTAGGTAACGCTATGCTGCACTTTCTGGTCCTGGTGACAGGCTGTACGTCGGTGGGAAAAGTCCTGGACGCTGAAGTTTACAAAATTACTGCAACAGATTTCTGTCCTCTCCAGGAAGAAACCAAGGAAGAGGAGCGCATTACTGCCTTGAAGAAAATACTAAACTCTGGGATGTTCTATTTCTCCTGGCCTAATGCAGGCTCAAACTTTGACCTGACTGTGCGGGCTCAGAAGCAGGGTGATAGCCACTATGAATCTGGTAACTCGTTCTTCTGGTTAGTACTGCATGTTATACCTAAGCCTTTTGTCATCCCCACCTGTATCTTGTTGGTCAAACATTCTCAAGGGGAGATGAATATATGCATTTCAAGTGCATCTCCTTTCATTTCATTGTCATGTCATTTTATGGGGCATGTGGCCACAGTGAATTCATGATAAACATGGATCAATCACGTAACTTCTGTTTAATTGAAATTAATCTGAAAGTGAAGTGCCATTCTGATAGTGATATTTTGTGTTTTTAAAAAGGAGAGACAAGATGTGTTGCTCATGCTACAGAAACATGTCTTGACATGTCACGAGTAGTTTCCCCTGCAGTTCTCTTTAATAGTGTGCTTTAAAAGTTATCCAGTAGAAACCTGCACTTGAACTGTTTGTAGCTGTCATCATCTATGCTGAATTATCTTCTGTTTCTTAAAAGTATATGTGTTTACAGTCCTGTAGTTTAATGTTTCAATGATGTGCCCTAGTTTTTCTGTTGAAAACATCAATATTAATATGTTTACAGCTCAGTGTAAACGTATGTTGCGCAGAAAAAAAACTCCTGTGATACTTTCTTGTGCTTCTAAAGCAAAGAAAAAGTATTTCTTGCTCCAGTAAGTATTGGTTGAGTGAAAAGAAAAACACACAATGCTGGGTTTTGTCTTCCCTAAGTAGGTTCACTGTTGATGTAATACAGTTTGTTAGCTTTACAAATTCAGGCAGAATGCTTGAATTCCTATACCCTCATTTTTTTTTCTTTTTAATCAGAAAGATGGTTGCACAGGAAGCATAGCAATACTGGAAATAAATGAGGTGTAGGTGGAAAATAACTGGCAGAGTTAAAAGCGGGTATGCTACTAGAACCTGTGATAAGTCTTGTGGCCCAAAGTACGTGAATATTAAATAAGCAAAGAAGTTCATAATGGATGATAAATAAACATGAGAGAGAGGTCAGTCAGGGTAAGTAATCTTTCTAGCTGTGATGTGACTTTTGACTGGTAAGATATCAGAAAAGAGAGATAAGAAACTTGCTTTCAACTGCACTAATTATGCATCTCTCTCAAAAAGCTCACCAAGCATGTCAAGTCAGACACATGGCACAAATGAGCTGTGTTCCAGTGATGAAACTCCTGAAGTGACAGTGTCCCTTAATAAAGAAACATCCTTTAATGCAAATCTTTTTACCAGTACTGTCTTTTGATACTTTTCTTCTTGGAATATAAGTATTTGAACTTTCCTTTGCTACTTCTGGCTAATGTAGAAGTAGCCCTTAAAGAGGTTCCATTCTCCTATATGTTGTGCAACAGAGATGAATGGTGACATGACATTTAGGGCAAAAAGGTGTTCCAAAGAGAATTTATCGTGAGGCAGTTATGTGATGTGGGAAATTTCAGACCAAACAATGGATTCTTGAGAAAAGTAAACAATGGAATAAATAGTTACATGATGAAAAGTGTCAGATGACCTTAGTTATAAGTAACACAAACTGCAACAACAAAAAAATTCTACTGGAATTTGTCTGAGTGAGGACTTTCTCTGTGGGTAAGGCTAAGAGGAGGTGAAAGAGATACCAAAAATTGTTTTAGGGCTGCTTTTTCAGTTACACTTTTAAGTTTAAAAATGTCAGAATGACTTGCACCTTGCTGTACTCTAGAAGAACAATTCTTCAGGGGTTTCGCTAGGTGTAATAACTCTTGTACAGATCTGCTGTTGAGCAATAAATGATCATAAAAGGGATTTTCTTGGCCCTCATCTGTGACTAAAGGCACATTTTGAAAAATGAAATGAGGAAAACCATCATAATAGAAGAGACTAGCATCACAGTTAACCAGGCATGAAAGGTTTCTTGGGTGATTGATCTTAAAATAAATTGAAGGTTAAAACAGACATTCCTCTTAATTTTAGTAGCACTTTTTGCAGTATCTCCATTGACTTGTGGGTCCAGTTTCTGCTTGTAAAAATTTTCCTGAAAATCATGGTGGATTTTAAAATGGCTCTTCATCCCGTAGTGTATGATAAGGTCAGGGCAGTACTGTTCAGAAAGTAATTGGTTTGACAGAACTGTAATTTTTGAAGAAAGATTACTAAATATAAATGTATTTCTGGAGCTAAAAGAGGTGACATTTGCATCTGAATTTAAAAGATAGAGGTACAAGATACAAGGACAGCACCTTGGTGATTGCCATGCTGTTAAGATTTGTCATGTTCTGTTCACTCTAGTAGTTCACAAGGATTTCTTCCTGATACTTCCTGGTTATGGACAAAGTAAAGGTACACCAGAAAAGGGGTGACAAAACATTAACTGCTTAAATTAGCAGTTGCTGTAGGATGTCATCCATGCCCCTCCGTCTTATTTCACTCAGCAATGTATCTGTATGTTGTTGAACCTTTCAGGAACCAGCTGCTGCATGTGCCCTTCAAGCACTACCAGGTGAACTGCTCTGACTGGCTGCTGAAGGTGGTCTGTGGGGTGGTGGACATCCGCACTGTGTATGCCTCCCACAAGAAGGCAAAAGCCTGCCTCATCTCTCGCATCAGCTGCGAGCGAGCCGGACTCCGCTTTCACATTCGGGGGGTCAGTGATGATGGACACGTGTCGAACTTCGTTGAGACAGAGCAGGTAAGTGCATGCATCCAACAGCGTTGCATAATTCAGCCCACTCAAGTTTAATTGGGGCATAATTTCCAACGAGAATTAAAGGAGTTCAGCAAGTATCTTTCCCAAGAATATTTAAAATGTTATTGCATGAGAGATCTACTCCTTGCCCATTAAGCATTTCTTTGTTTGTGATCTGTTCTTCTTTGTGTTTCTGACTTCTCCATGCACACAATTTTCACTAATAGTTTTTTTTTTTTTCCTGACTGTGAAAGTCTGGCCATTTGATACTGTAGTGAAATATAGACATGGGGTTTTGAAACCGTTCAGAGAGCTCTCAACAATACATATGTTGATGTAACGACAACAATACAATGTTGATGTAACATTGTTTCTTAATTGCATGAAACTTGCTTAGAATTGTCACTCATGAGGCCCATGTATTAAACAAAAGAATGTTTTAAAATCTGTTGCAGAATAACTGTCACACTGTTATACAGTCTGCCTACATTCTAAAGTACATTTTTTCTAAAATTAATCATGTTTCCCATGCTACAGGAGAAGAACCTTTTGAAAGATTTTCTATGAAATAATGGTATCTTACACTTCATTTCTCTTTTATTCAGTTTATCTCCTAGTCCTTACCACCAGCGTTGCCGGGCTAGCCACTGGAAGTCCCCTGCAGTGGCATAACTATGTTTGCACTGATGTAAAAGAGTTTGATTAGTGATGCTGGGGGTAATTTTCCACAAAGGCTAGAGCTGAGATTTGCTTTTGGCCCTAAGGAAGTCACTTAGAATCATAGAAAATCTTGTGATCATAAATATTCATGTTTCAAGTTACTTCTGTCTGCCTTATTGGATTGAAGCCATCGCTTTGTACAGTAAGCATTTCAGCTGTAAAATGAGGGTGATTATTAACTTCCTGCCTCACAGGACTTTTACAGTCTGATGAAGACAACATTTATAGAAGGTAGGTAGTGTATGCTGTCCTGTGGTGAAGAACTCCTCTCAGGGCTCAGATACCTCATTCTAGTTAACAGGGAGATGCCCAGCAAAGGAGCTGTGTTCACTCGGACTCTAATTGTCTTTGACTGGTGAAGGAAATAGAGAAAAATCACGATTTTCTCAGGCAAATTCCAGTGCAACTCATTCTGGAAGAGACTTTGCTTTATATTCTACTTTGCTTTGTGGGGGATTCTCTCCAGTGAGAGGTGGTATGACATGGATTTTATTCTTACATGGTTAAAAACTTAGTTCTAGCTGAGACAAAATATACGGGTGAAATACATTCAGCAGGCTCCCTTACTTGTCACAGCCAAACAAGTAATAGAGTCAGGTGATTTTGGTACACATGGTTTAGCTTACTCCCTTGAAAATGGACAAGGGTGGCATCCCTTCTCAGAAATGCCCTTTTTTTAGCACTAGGATTTCCTTATGATGTGGCCTGAGTGTAGCAGCTCACACTCAGTGCTGCCCTTTCCGTTATGCCACTGCATGAGGCAGGCATGCCTTCATGAGCCTGTTTGTCCAAAATCCAGCAATGTTTGTGTACTTTCAAAATTTTCTCGAAGATGTTGCCCAAGATGGTGCAGCCTTAATCTTTTCACCTGGCTCTGTGAGTTGCAGACTGTTATTCCCTAGTCTGCTGGTCAGGTTTGATCCCCGAGACACGCTCAAAGCATTCACATTGTTATGTGTGACTTTCTGCCCAGTAGTCAGAGACCTCATTTGGTGTGTGGGTGGCTTTTTGTTCATGTCCTGCCTTTTCCTAGTTTGCCTGCACTTTCACTAGGCTAGCCTGGCAGCTTTCCATTTAGTGTTCAGACTTGCATAGATTCTGCTTGTTTGATTCCAGGCTCTTTTCCTGCAGTGCTTGGGTCTCTAATGTCGGCCTCTGAATTCTCTGCTAATGATTCTGTGCCTCTGCTCCAAAGCAACTGCAAGTCGAGTCCTGCAGCATCTGCATCTTTCTAGAAAGTCTGTTCGTATGTTGGTCAGAGCAGATAGGTCAACTCACCAAAAAGTGGAATTTTGCCCTGGAGCTTGGGAACAGTAGAGGCCATTTTTAGTAAGAACTTGTTAGTCTGCTGTTTTAGTTGAGTGCCTTTCACGAGCATTAGCACAAAGTATGTTACTCAGGATTTTAAGAATGTTCTCTTGCTGAAGTGCAGAGTAAAGAGAAGGCTGGAAAGGGTTGTCAGCTTTTTTTCAGATCAGTCTCACATTTGTGGTATTGCACTTAGCAGTTGTCTAATTCTGGGAAATAGTTCTGCTATCCTGCTCACTAGTTGGGTCAGAGTAACTCATTCTATTTAATTATATTCCTGGAGTACACTATGCTGCAAATGATTAGCATGAAAAATAAGATGGCCTTTGCATCCCAGCAGCAAACCTGAGGATCTGCTCCTGGTGAGTGGCAGAGCAGGACTTGGTTGCTAATGCTGCCTTCCCTTCACTGGATCTGGGTCAGGGTCAGGCTCTCCACAGGAACTGCTGTGCTCTGTTCCCGTCTGCCAGGGGCTGTGGTGAGGTGGGAGGACCGGAAGCTTTGCAGTGTTTTGCAGTTGGGTAAGCAGAAGCACAAGAGTGAAATGGTTATAGGGTGAAAGGCCTCGAGTAGGTTGAAAATTATAACAAGTATTTGTAGTTTTAAAGGACTATGTGGTTTGGTTTTGTTTTTAAAGGAGAAAGGAAGGTTGCTGTTGCTAATGGTGATAAACACTAGTTTTACTAAGCTGCATGTCCTAAAAAAGCAAAGTTGGGCTAACTGCTGGGTTGCTTGAGATCCAGTTTAAGCTGGCATCCACTTACCATTAGGAAGGAAGAGTCCTAGAATAAACTCTCTCCTACTTTCATAGTAGACTACTGACTAATCACTTATGAGGTAATATCTTGGCTGAATAACATCTTGTTTCCATTTACTGCAGCCTATACAGTATAATGGCATGCTGATTGTGTGCTTTCATGGGTAAATAGCACCCTAGGATTCTGAAAAGCCAGGATTTTTTCCACGTTGTAGGAATCACTTGTAACATTTTTTGGTTTTTAGAAGAGGGAGAAACAATTAGTCTTATCTCCAGGCAGCTCTTTTATGCATAGATGGTATGCTTTTGTCTCCCACAGAGTTAGCCTTGTGGCATTTTAGCTTTGCAATGAGTCATTTTTTGTGGGCTCACTTAGCTACTGTGACTCACAGTGTTTGAGAAGAAGGGGAAAAGTTAAATATCTCACTTCACTTTTTCTTCTTTTTTTTTTAAAAAAGCTACTAGTAGATCTTACAGATATTTGATCACTTGGCTTGCGTCTGTACAAAGGAAAAAAGAAGGAATAAAAACCACTAGGTAACACTTGAGGAAAAACAACATATGAAGGGAAGAAAAAAGAGGATTTTTAAAAAAAACTCTCTAATGTGTACTTCTAGATTTGCTACAAGTGTTTTGTAATGGGATAGTAGCCCTCTCTACCTGCAGTGCTGCAGTTAATCCTCAAGCAATTTTAAGATCAGTGTCCATTTCCCAGTGATAGCTTAAATGTTTTCCTTCACCCTCACTTTCTCCTCTAGTAGTCACATAAAATTTAGACTGCATTGCATTCTTTTAATTCTTTTCTGCTGATAGTGTTGAGAAACAAGCATGCTTTCTTCATTTAGTGTGCCTGTCACTGTTTACATTTCAGCTTCTCCCCCACTTACCCTCCAAAGAGTTGTCCTAAACTCTTAATATCTTAATATATGACATGGGGAGCAGCTCTAGTTTACCAAAGATAAATGAATGTTTTCAGTTGTTTTCCCCTTCATGGAACTGTTCAATAAAGAAATGGATACCTGCATTAAAAGGAAATGCCATGAATTTGGATTCCCTTTCCCTTCCAGTTTAAGAAAAAAATTATGGGCATGGATTAAGAAAATTGATCCCTATTTCAGAATAACTTCTAGACCGTGTTGGGTAGCTCTCCAGGAGAGGAATGGATGCAATCATGTGGTTAATTTATTTTCTGGATCAAGTCTTAGTATGGCCCCAGGCAGGGCAAAGAGGATTATTTTGGCAAGTGTATCCTTGGATTCTGTGGTCTGAGTAAAGGGACTTATGGAGAGGTTTGTTTAGGCCATCTGTTATCAATGCTTTTTGTGGGTTGTGTGGCAGAGCTGGGGATCCCAGAACAAGCCATGTGAGTATCCCATTTCATTGTGGACTGTGTCTCTGTGTGTCTCTTTAGTCTGTAATAAATTCTGCCATTTGAAGTTGTGACTAGATTATTTCCTTCTAAGGAAGCTGAGTGGTAGAGATTAGTGAGTAAATTATTCCAAGCGATGAATGAGTGCAGCATGCTGAGATAGAACACCAGCTGGTTGATGTAGATGTTTGCTTCTTCCTCAGGAGCAGTGCCAGTTCACTTCTTGATTTGAGGCTTACTAGCAGTACCTGTGCATGAAGCTTGTCTTACCAGGAAAGGTCCTTGGATCACAGGGGCAAGATCTGGCCCTGTGCAACAGAAGAGAAAGGTGGAGAAATGTCCTCTTGAACTGTCAGCACCATCACCTTTGATCCTGGAGCTGGAGAAAAGCGAACACAAAAAAGTCTAAGACACAGAAGCTGAAAGAAAAACATGGCAAATTCTAACACCAGAGGTCAGAGGACAAACAATCTATTATCAAAGGCAAAGAGGTCCTCCACAGGGGTTAAGTATCTAGTTGCTATTATGTTGTCTGATGGGTAAATGCAGAAAACGTCTCTGAAAATTCATCTAGCTAATGGGATTGGATTGGTCTATGGGCCAATCCACTGAGATCAGTGAAGTGTAGTCCTCAAGTGTTTCGAGGATTTGATAGGAATGAACATTCTCTCTGGGGCAAGTAGGCAACAACTTTCCATCATTTTGGATCTAAGACAAAAGATAAGACTCCACAGTAATTTTACAAAGCACAAAGAGATTAAGCAGTGTGTTTCGAGCCTAATGACAAAAGTGTTGTCCAAAATCAGCTGAAGTCCTTGGAGCTTGGCCTGAGGATGGATGAGGAGCTGA